CATTTAGCTTTCAGGAATAATTTTTTGAATTACCCACTTAGAAATTTAATCAGTTATATAATATACCCTTGTAGGCCAGGGTAATTTTACATTGGTTTTTGGGAGAACTAGACACCATCCAGACGTTCACGTGACAACCCAAACAGATCAGCTCACTCCCGTTTAACAGGAGAGCGAGACACCGCCCAGGCTTAACACGAACAGTACAGTTCAATCCCGCTTCACAAGAGAACCAGACACCGTATAAGCTTTAACTCTACAATCTGTATAGTACAGCTCAATCCTATGGCGCGACCACACAGGTACCAAACGTCCTGATGAACCATGGAAATTCAACCAGTTGGACTTAAATTATATAATAGAGTTCCATTTAAGTAAGCATTTTACTCAATTCAATAATTAAGTAAAAGAGCAATGGTTGTATTTATAAAAGACTGATTATTCAAAAGTTGAACAACAAATCAGTGTCTTGTGCAGAAAAAAAAGAAAAATTAGAACTTACTTTATTAGATTTTGTATAATTTTCGTTATATGGTATTCTAACTAAAGCGATATCGTCTGCATCATTTATTTGTTGTTGTTGTTGTTGTTCCTGATTATGATGAGGAATATTTTGATTAGAGGATAGAATAGCAGCTATTTGAGAATTATCTTGATGTATTCTAGCCAATTGTTCATTCATTGTTTGATGTAAAGAAATAGATTGAGGAATAGAGAATTTCGGTATTATACAGTGGTTTATAGATGAACAAATTGTTGAACTGGAATTGTGGTGTAAATTCGATGAATTAAGATAACTGGAAAGTTTCAAATAGTCAATAAATGAAGATGAAGTTAATGGAACTGTTATGAATGAAGATGATGGTAGTGAAGATATATCATAAGGATGTTGATGATATGGTAAAGATGAAAAAAACTCTGTATGACTCACTTTTGAAATATTTGTTGGTTGAATCAATTTTGTTGATTCCTTTGATAACTTTTTATGTGCAGAAAAACATGTTTTATTAATTAAATTTCCAAGGGATCTACTACTAGTTGAATGTGCATTACTGGTAGTTGACACACTAGGTTTTATCAGGACAGGACGTGAAATAGTAATGTGAACAGGATACTGAGACATTCTAGATTTCATGTGAAATGAAAAAAAAACAGAATAAATGTTAAAGAAGCTGGTAATTTTTAATAAAAGATATTTGAAGTATGAATTTACACCAGGCGAGACTGTAATTTATGGACGAACCAATCACATTTAGAATGACAGGTTTAGGATTTTGGCGCGAAATTCATCCACCAAATTGTCAAAATAGCGTCCTGACATTTTAGCTGATGTCAGTTCGTGATGAAAACCATAAATCTAATTCCTAACCATCAACTGTAAATCATAATATTTTACTCTTCATTCTGCTTTATAACCATCAATTAGCGTCGCTCAAAGGTCGTTCATAAATTATAGTCTCAACATTGTTAAAAATAAACGTTTTAATAGTAAAATATTTAGAGCACATCTTCACAGTGCGTTAACACAATTTGTATGAACGATTCATTTGGAAGCGTTTAATATTGATCGTAAACTTCAGTGTGATTGACTGGCTAGAATGGTCTGAAGATTTTTTATTCCTTATTTAATAATCTGGATTCTTATTGGTTATAGTTCGTAAGTTTTCCAAAGATAAAGAGTTCGATTTTCCCTAATGACCTTTACTTGTTTTACTCATTTGCATTGCAATATCTTTGCATCAAAAGAAGAGTATTGTCTTTGCAGTTGTAAAGTTTTTACAACTAAATTTAATGTTTAAGATCTAACAAACAAAGCATAATGTAACTGGATAATATTTTCGCTTGTATGCATGCTCATATATAGCAGTAAAAAGGAACGACGTTTGATTCAATAGATTTGTAAGGTGTTTAGCATGTATATTGGTTGATTACTGAGTATTAACTAATGTCATGTTCATCATGTCCTTAGTGCTGTTAGAATTATATCGGTGAAGTTACAATGTAATAACTAGAATATGCAAATCAGTAACATGAACGCTTTATATTGATAGTATGTTATCAAATCATTTAATATCGTAGTGAATAAGCCACTGTATTAATAAATGTTTAGAAGTTAAGGCTAATGATTTTTTAAAGGTCTATGATTGTGACAGTCTTTTTGCTCCAAAATTATAGGAAAAGCACTTAAAAAAACTTATGAAATATTGCTGATACCATTCCAAACTTGTATCGTTTATCAGTAAATGGATTTCTTTTGACGAGTAAACAAAATTTAAAACTTGCAATTGTTGGAACGATTTAGAAAACTCCTCGAAAAAAGCCAAGAAAGGCTCTGAAAACATTGAGAAGTGTCTTATTCAATCAGCGTTCAGTCGAACTTTTGCCAGAAGCATCTAGAAAATGAAACGTCACATGTTGAGTTCCTGACTGGATGATTACTTATACTGCTACTATGTTTATTAGCATTCCAGAACTTTCTGGAAACGAAAAGACATCTAAAATACTGTGAAAAAAATCCTAGAATAAAGTATTTCTTACATATTTCATTCCTTTTCTCAAGTATTCAAGTCTCTGTGTAGTTCTAGCCTGAGGGTTACTAGAAGAGTTCAGAAACCAAATCAAGCGTTCAATTAGCAAGATTTATCAGTAATATCATCATTTTATTTCTTTCTATAGATTGAAACTATATAGACAATTTAGAGACTAGCAACTTGGATTAGACTTCATTCATTTACAGGTTTAAGTGATTTGATAATGTGGTTTACTTTTATTTAAAATAACTGAAAGCAGTCGATATCACATTGTGAAACTCTTGTTTTGTGGTGATTAGAGTTATTATTGAAGTGTTTATTTTCGCTCAGAAATTCACTTCCGTTTCATTCTTAATGCAACAGTCATAAATAATAACTTTGATCTATTCAAAAACGTTTGTTCCAGACTTGACAATGACAAAAAGACTTTGTTTAAGAATTCTACTCACCTGAACATGCGAACAACACTATTACTTGTAGATCGTGATACATTTATGTTATCAATTGCAACTATAAAATCACCAGCTTGTATTCCACACTGCATTGCCGGTGAACCCGGTTCCACATGGCTAACGTAAACTGGACAATTACCACATAAAGTAAATCCGTATCCCTTAGAACCTTTTTGAATAAGAAACTGAATTAGGAAAAAGTAAGACACAGTAAAGTAACGATTATTGAACAAGAACGAATTAGTTGTTTGTTATGTGGACATCAGACAAAAAATATGGTAATTACGACAGGTTGTCAGATTATTATGAAAAATAATGTAATGTTCGTAACATTCTGATGACTAGGGGATTGAAGTTTTGACGTTTCACGGCTCAATGTCAGTCACGTCTACAAAGAATAAATGAATAGTCGAGTTAAATTAACACAAGCTTAGAAAGTACAAAGGAACAAAGCAACATACCTAGTACAAATAAAATAATTCTAAATAAGTCAATGACACGACATATGGGTCAAGAGGATTCCATGCGAGACATGTTTGTGTATTTTTGTGTATGTTAGTCAATATGAAACATGTGATATTTCTAACGTAAAAAACTTTAATTGTAGTTTGCTATTGCCCTTCTGTATAGAATCCTATTTTCACACTGTTAGTAAACTTTAGAATAAAATATCTTTCAACACTGTAAAGCGTTTTTATAGCATTATTTTCAATGAATTATTACTATGGCTGATTTTGAACGATAACTGTTAGATGTTATGACAAAAAAATTGGCTTGTGACTTAAGGCAATATCGAGGCAACCCGCACAGAATGCACATATGCCAACATGAGACTGCCAAACGCAGTCCTAAATAACAATGGGAAGATACAAGTAAAACAACACCAAGTGAATTTAGATAACTGTTAGACGTTATGACAAAAAAATTAGTGAAGAATAATATTTACCTCATTAGATTCATAAGAATATAGGAGGACACCATGAATAGAAATGAATAACCTAATTATGTGGCATAATAGAAATGTCTTAAGAGTTGAATGTTTTAGACCGTAATCTGTAAAGGAATTAACGGAATTTGGGCGTTTTTTATTTCTTATTGGTCTAGAAAACCAAATGACCATTTTTGTTTATCATCAACCTCTCGAGTTCGAAATAAAGCACTATGAGTTTGGATTACTTAGCACAACGGTTTTATCATTAAAATGGTAATGTTGATGATGCTGGATCGAAAATGGCTATGTTTAATTTTATCTGAGGACAGTATTTCACTTTTTAAGTAGTTTGAACTAGTATTTGAATAAGATTTATTTTTTTAAACACATAAACATTGGTACAAGGAGGCACCAAACAGATATGCACCACATAAATCATCCGATTTCTATGAGGGCTGTATTACTGCCCGGGTGCCCAGACCGAAGCAGGTGCTTTTCTTAGGGAGCCACACCCCGAAAAGTATGTGTCGGAGGTGGGACTCGAACACATGCCCACATTGTGGACCAGAACACCCAGGAGAACACTCTTGAGTCTGGAGCCTTAGACCGCTCGGCCACTCCGAATAAGAATAAAACTAATTCTCAATTTCATTAAATGCATAGAAATTTTAAAGTAAGATAATACAAATCAAAATTTAACCTTCAAACCCAAATTGAGTTACTGTTGAGTTGACAAAAAGTGAATTAAGTTCATTGACGACAGTTGTAAATTTTCTATGAAATTGATCAGAATCATATCAGATCAAAATGAAACAGGCTCTTCTAATTGTTGTCCAAAATAACAATGAAAGCATTTTAATGTATTCTACCTCAAAGAATGCAACTCCATCAAAAGTATTATATCGATTCTTACAAAATACGAAATGTTCATGATTATATATATCTGTTATATCCTAGTGGAGATTAAACTACGGATAACTTCTGAGACCTATTAATGGACAAATATTATATATACATGCCTATTGTATAACTATTCAGTAACTAGATTATATGTATCTATATTCCTCTTATTATAAGCTCCATTTTGACCTATACATTACTACTATTATACGATTTGATATTCTTAAATTATGTTCGGTTTATTGATAACAGTCTCCCACGTTCACAGCCACTTTGGGGCTTGATCTTGTATAAATGTTATTTCCTATTTTATAGTGTGATGCAGTCTGTTTGGCTTGTATAGAAGCCAAGTATGTTTGAAACAAATGATCCACATAGTAAAAGCTGTTATTGGTGTTCTGGACTCAACTGGACGGGCTAGGAGGACAAAGAATTAATAAGGACACTAGACTTGTCATACCGGTCGAACGTTTATTGGTTTTGGCACAGTACTAAAACTGTATAAGTCGTATTTCCATTAGCGAATAAATCACGTGATAATTAGCCGGTCTCCAAGTCACAATAATAATCTTTTCCTTTCTTCTAAGTTTATTGTTAATTAAAATTTCTATTTTTACCATTCAGGTTATTGAAAGTCCAAGTTTACAGAACCGTAAGTTTAGCGGTCCTAGTAAGCTTAGTTTTATTCAACCTGCATTTGAATGATACATTATTTTACAATGTATATTCCACAAGTCTACTGTAGTCAAATTGGATTTTATACTGTGTAATATAACTTCACATAAGGAATGTAATATTTACAAATTCCTATTTCTTGTTATCATGAACTTCTATATTTCTGAACATAAATTTTACAACCAATTTGAGGTCATTCAGTAATTCAAAAAGCAGTGCAAATCGAGACTTATGATTAAAATTAATGGTGAATGAAATTTAATTCTTATTTTTCCTTCTACAAAACTTGCCAATTAATACAATAATTAAGGATTCCGACTCAGTGGTCTAAAGGCTAAGTGTTCGCGCGCGAGACTGGTAGGTCCAAAGTTCGAATCTCTTGGGGCCGGATCGTGGATGAGCACTGTTGAGAAGTCCCATACTAGAATAAAACCACCTTCCATTGATTCCAGGTTTTCCATGGTGGTCTAGCTTCAATTAACTCATGAATTCAATTAGTAAATTACTACAATATCCAAAAAACCCCTCTGTGAAAAATGTATATATATTTAAGTGACAAAACGAATGCTATTAGATTACTTTTTCAATTGATATTCAGTTTCCTAATTAACGTTGTCTTATTTCATTCATTTTTTTGAGATTATAATTTATGGACAACCTTTGAGCACCTCTAAAGTGACTTTGAGAGTATGCACCTACACACTACGGCTTAATGAAGATTATAATGAAGTGTGAGGAATTTACAGTTGCTAGTATGGTTTAGGAATTGTTATAACTGTGCTCTGTGTCCTTATTAATGTATAATGTAATGATACCACCAATTAAAGAACAGTGAATTATCGACTGGACCAATGACTCATAAAACTTGTACGAGTAGTTTAGAGTCCTTATCGGTCCTGCTTCCCGCCTAGACCTGCCTGTTAAGTCCAGAACACCAGTCTCAGCCTCTGTGATATGAATCGTTTATTTCAAACATACTGGGTCTAAATACAAATGAAACAGACCACGTAGCACCACAAAACAGGGAACAACATTTGTACAAGATTTAGCCAAATGTTACTGTGAATGTGGGAGATAGTAATTGATAGAAAGAGCATAACTCAAGAATGGTAAATCGTATAACAACAGCTCATATGTTAAAATAAAGCTCATAATAAAAGGGACACGAATATGAATAGTTTAGTTACTTATCAATTATGCGCTAAATATATACATATAGTATTAGTTCATAAATGGATCCCAGAAGTTACCATTCATTATTTTCATCGCGATATAACAAGAATTACATATATAGAGTTTTCATCACAAACTAACATTAGCTATAATGTCAAAAGTCTATTTAACCAAATTAATAAATTTATTTCGCGCCAAAATTTCAAGATTTGTTACCATAAATCTGATTGGTTTATTCATAAATTATTGTTTCACCACAAATACTTTCATGTAAATTGTTCACAATTCAAATTAATCATTTAAAATAGAATAGATTTATTATCCTTTTCTTCTTTTTCTTCCTCTCCTTGTTGTTGTTGTTATGGTTATATTTCAACAGAACAACTGTTATATTTAATGTTGCACTAGACAGTTATTGTTTGAATCATCATTCTAGTTGTGTATATTTGAAAGTTATTGATTTATTTATTCTAATAATAACCATTAGTGAAGTTCATAATTTGTGTATTAAAATAAAATGATATAAATGATTCTTAGGTTTCTCATTTACTTTCATTCTTTTACTTTCTACTTAATCTATTTGTAATATATTTAACCCATAGAAACTAGTCATTAATAAATGTTATATTTAGTGTTGCTAAAAGTTGAGGTATAAGTTACCTGATTATGCCATTTTTATATGTATCTACGAATTCAGCTGCTCCTGTGAAGAAAGCTATATTGGGCGCAATACCAGACAACTGAACCAAATTGTTAGTGAACACCTCCATTCGTGGTTAGTAAAAGGTAATGTCAAGATAATACGCAGCTCGGTTCTGTCACACTTGATCGATAGTGGTCATGTAGTGGACAGAAACAAATCAATTAAATTTATTTATCGTATTCCTACTATTTTTCCTTATGATATTCGATCTCGTCTCTTACACATATTAGGAGCTGTAGGAAATCGAGCCAACAATACAAGTCTTTTTGTTGATAAGAAGTTTGTAACATCCTTATCTCTCCCTTGGCCTTAATGAATGATTTTATTTCTTATTATTTTCCATACTCTTTGTTCGTTTATTTTTCTCCTTACTCTCCCAGCCTTTTTTTTTCTCAAATATTCACTTCACGGTCCAATTATTTGAACACTTCTTATTACGTAATCTTGTAATCTTTCTATGAATGTTATTTTTTCTAATTATTGACTTATTACCAATTATGTCATCACACTAACAATTTGTACTTTTAACTTATTTATGTAATCTATTCCACTGTTTTCATTGACTCATAAACTATCTTGATTGGTTTAGTAATTTCGTATACGTGTTAAAATATTACTGTATATTAGAGTAAAGCCTATGAATTGGAAACATTCTGTGTTATAACGCAACCAAATATTAGCTTTCGAACAAATCTTTACGTGATCTATCCAGAAAGGATAGAATTACATTTAAAGAGCTTCATATATGAAATATTAGTCAATCGGGATTCACAAGTATAGCACGATATTTTGCCAATGGTTGAGTCCAGAAGGATTGTTTTGTTCTATTTGCGACTCCTCACGTTGATTTGCCTGGTACTGATGTTCGTATTTAGACTAAAATCCAGCACTTATCGCTTCAAACATTAACGCACAGTCCACTTTGTAGTTGTTAATCTGATTCACAGGTTTAAGATTTATCTTGTGCAGTCCTAAATATTCACAAACACTTACAAATGATAAACATTTAGAAGCCACGATTTTGTTTTACTAAAATGAATCTTGACAATTTAAATGTTATAGTTTGAATAGAGTAATTGTTTCATACAATTAATGTACATGTTTTTTCGAAAACGACCAATTTTCTAAACTAACGGACACAAGTGAGTTACTCTAAAACTTCATGCAGATTAGAGGAATTCTATACTAAACTTTTAAAATAAATAATTAGTCGGTTTTTTTGGTGTTGACGGATTCCATATTCACATGTGTCATAATGATGTTACTAAATGAACTTTCAGTTCATCCGACATACAATGAAGTGATGAAAATTTTATTTGTAACCAGTGAAAGTTGTTTTCGGTCTTATACAATAATAAAAGATTATCAAAAAGGTGCTCGGTTGACAAATTCCTACTTTCAAACAGCGTTTTACGTAATCATAGTAAATGCTTTCTCTTATCCTATCAGGAAAAAGCAAAAATGTAAATTAATTATGTTCATTAGTTAAAAAAAATTTCATTTATTGATCCAGTAAATTACATTTGTACCTCAAATTATTGATTACTTAACATTGATTACTACCAGCTAGATTTATTCAACTTTAATTGTTGACCGAATCTATAGGAATGATTTACACCCCACTGTAATATTTTGATGTCGTTTTAATCAGTTGTGGTTGTATAGTTGGTTCATGAATTAACCTTCATCTGAAGTTTTTCTTCCTTTCTCCAAATGTTATCAATATTTGTTCCTCCATAAAAAGTAGCAAGTGACAGTTTTTCTCAGCTATCACAAGTATTAGTATCTGTATATAACGAGATACAATAAATCCAATCGTACATTTTACAAAATTTAACCTTAGTTACTCGACAAAATAAGGTAATATCATGTAACTAAACTACTGGATTTCGCATACAAATAAATGATCGAACTTTTCTTTTGTCTATAGTTACTAACAAATCAAACTTTCACTAGGTCGTTTCGCTCTATGTCCGTATCCATACTTGGACATGTGTACAAGTTTACATGAAAAATTCACATGAAAGATCTATGTAACGTTGGATTGTGACTAAACGTGGAACTTATGACATAGATTTAGTTAAACCTCATTGAAACTTGTGTCTGAATGTCAACATCGAGGTCCTTTCATTAGATGGTATATATATGATTGTGTAAACACTAACACTGAAACTCAGGAACATTCGATTAACTAGTCGTAGACAAGACAAAATGCATATCTTGAATTTCACTGTTAGTCAAAATCTAATCTAACTAAAATTTGTAACTAAATATCGAGCAATACAAGCAATTCATTCATGGTGTAAAAATGCCAATCTAAACTGATCAGCTGAAAACATAAATACAAGTATGAAATCTGATAAATTATTTGACATAATTTGTACATTGTACTACTTTGAAATTAGTACCGAATATTGGAAAAAAAAAGAAAAAAAAAGAAAGTTACCATTGGTAGTGAGACAATAAAACGAATTAGAAAAAACAAAACTAGAATGCAGGGCAAGCAAAGAATATGACGAAAAAAAGGAGGATATCAATTTATATATTTTGTGAATTACTTTTCAGTTACCTAAAAGCTGGAATAATTGTAACTTGTAATAAAGTAAAATAAATGTGAATACTACTATAAAGTTGTTAAGGAGGTGATGCTTGGAAATTTGAAATAACTTTGAATTTTTTTAGTCCAATTGGAACAATTTAGTAATGTTGAATTCTCTTAAGTAAACTTGTACTACTTCCCTAAAATTTGATGTAGAAGTGAATGGCGAATGATAGTATGTGATAATATTTTCTTCCAGAACGACAAAGGACATTTAGTTAAACCAGTCATTTCAGAGAACTTAATAAGAAATAGAAAGCACAAATGTAGATTATTCAAAGTCATCCAAAGTGTTGCAATTCCTAATTATTGTACGTAGAACTGATTATAGGACTACAATATTAACATTATGGTAAAGGTAAAAGTTGACAAAAAAACAAGAATCCCGTCGTACAATAGTAACTACAGACAGAACTGAATAGAATAATTAGTGGTTAATTAATAACAAGTGATTACTTACATAAAAACAAGAATAACCTGCAACATAATTGCTATATTCTAATGTAAATCTTTAGAAGTTGAAGCTAATCAATCAATACAAGAAGTAGCACACCTTTGAATACATACAATATTTGTACATTCTTTCATAATTACAAATATGTTTGGGTTTATTAGTATTGAAGATGATAAAGACGTTTATTTATTTACTCTTAAAATTGACAACTCGGTTCAACGATTTGTACACATTGATGGGTGATAGAGTAGTAACCAATGCTATGCTTTTTAATCCTAAGTAATGATGGAATTCTACCTATCCAATTGCAATATGACCAATATTCTCCAAGTTATTCGACACCGTATGCACTATGTCACATGGTTGGGGTCGGTCGACAAAAGTCATATTTGATAATGGCTCCACTCTATTTCGCATTCTTCATCTGGGTGTGTATAGTATTCTAAGGAAAATATTACTCGAAACCTTATTACTCAAAGTCACCTAAAGACATTACCACTGAGTTAGTCTAACTAATTGCTAGACTATAATATTTATACTGAATAATTAGTGAGGAATAACCAATGTGATGTTATCGTCAGTACTGTCGAATAGTTCAGTAGCAAAGTCCTTATCTCTGACACTTAGTGGCGTTAGACTGAATTATGTAAGTAGTATCATTTTTCTCTGTACTAGATGCGTACCTCGATGATGAGTGTTAACTAAGACAAAATCAAAGTTTACGGCTTTCTTCCGCTTGTCTACAATCATTTAACATGCCGCCAAATACTAGTGCTCAATAAAATGATGATAAGCTTGAATTTGCTTCTAATATAAACTCAAAAACTAATGGAGGTTGTTTGCTTTTAGTCATAGGTCTGCTGAATCTGTTCATTTTATACACGGAATAACAATAAAAGGTTGTTGAGCAATATTACTTTATTCAGTCTTCTAAAATTCATTGAGTATCCTAGCTTAGATACGTATATGGTGAAAACTATAGAAACTTAAGTGAAAATAATTTAACTCACTTGAAATATTCTCATATTACTTAAAGCTTTATTCGTATTTGGAATTGACATATTTGCTCGTATAGGAACTGGTGATGAAAATTGTGGAAAATGTGAATTAACTGGTGGGTTACTAATTTGATATGGTAACAATGTATTAGGCAGATTTTGTGAATAAATCATAAAGTTAGTAGGTGACAATACTGGACGAAATTCCCTGGAACAATGATTATTTATATTGTGATTATTACTAGCGAAATTACGATTTATATTAGGATGAATTTCATTTGTACTTGGACGTGTGACATGTTCATTAATCGATGTTAGAATAATAGGAATTTGTTGATTTGTTGTTGATGTGTTTGTTGTCACAGCATCAGTGACAGCTTCGGTTTTCATTATATCTGATACGATTAATTCATTTGTTGCACATAAAACATTTTCAAAGTTGGTGATAGGATCTAAAGCAGTTTTGAGGTGCTTCTTTTTAAACATTTTTTCGTCTAATAAATAATACCAACCTGAGATCTATGAACATTAGAGTAGAAGAAAATTAAAATTTAAACATGAATATATGTTTGTTCAATTAGTGTGCACTTTAGTTAGACACGTATCACTGGTGGGATAGGATTATAGTCACACCATTTTACAAATTAGCTAATGTTAGAGCTATAAACAGTTGGATTTCGAAATAACTGTATCAAGTTATCGTATTACTAACATGACCTGAAATCGATAATATTTAATTCACTTTAGAATTATAAACATACATTAATCAGTAATTTCACTTCACATCGAAATATCTATCTGATATTTCTTTTTGGTTTCAATGATCTTCCTAATGATGAAGATGAGAAACATAAACTAATTTGATTCCATTTGAGTTGGCTACATTCCCACTTTACACAAGATACTCAACAGCCATTGGACGGATACCATCAGCAACAGCCTACTGTTGAAGAGGACAAACCAGCTTCCAGATGAAGAGGAAATCAGGAAAAGATTATGGAAATGGATAGGACATGCATTGCGGAAATCACTAAACTTTATCATGAGGTAAGTGCTAACTTGGGATCCTGGAGGGAAGCAGAAAAGAGGGAGGCCAAAGAACACATTACGTCGGGAAATAGAAACAGATATGAATAGCACGAATAGCAACTGGAATGAGCTGGAAAGGATTTCCCAGGGCTTGGTCGGATGGAGAGTGCGGATGGGCGGCCCATGCTTCTCCACGAGGAGTAAGAAGTGTAAGTTAGTAAGTAAGTAAGTGTGGTGAATTAAATGACTTCCACTTTTTTGTTAATAAACAGTTTGCGTTTTCTGCTATGAGCATGAAATGAAATTTAATATGCAAATAAGTTAATTTTATCAAAGAAAAAAATTGATATTTAGAGTTGGGTGATAAATTACTCAATAGAATTCTAACCAATACATTGATATCTATTTATCTACAGCATAGGATTTGTGATTTTTGACTTGAATGGAATTAAAACAAAATGAATATTTGTTGTTTTTTAATAGTTGAATTCATGAGTCAATTGAAGTTAGATCATCATGGAAAACCTGGAAGCAATGGACGAACGTTTCATCCACGATCCCACCTCATGATATATATATAAAGATTTTATTTCATCGATCAAATTTTCTTACATAATACAGCTGGATTCATACTGGTTAAAAATAGATTCTTAAGTTATGCGAACATTCATTAAAAAAACATTCACAAAAAGTAGATACCACAACAAAAAGTGTAAATATTTTTACTTCTTTTAAATCATAAGCATCTAGTTGACTTACGTGTTTCTTGTTTTGTATACTAGGAATTCCAAAAGACATTCCACCAAGAAATTCACTTGAAATGAAATTACAAAAAAATATTAATCAAATTAAGTATAAACCTTTCCAGTGATTATTCAATTAAATTACAGCCTCAGTATTGTCAATATAAGTCATTTTGATATTTTTGGCAACTAGAGATAATCGGAATTAATTTGAACTTAATAAATGTTCTAGCTTGACAACAAACTTTGTTATGTCTTATCGTTCAACTGATTTACATTTCAATTCCCTGGTTAGTTTGTAGTTTTCATGAACATAAATTTGTCATTGTCTTATTAAACTTGTTAAACTTTACACTGGAAAACACCTAGAAATGAATTTGTTTTAATTGCAGAAGAAAATACTTACCTGGCTTATTAGCGAAAAGCTTGATGTTACATTTACCAATTGACTGGAAGAATGTTACTGTCTTTGGAATTAGCCATGATCTCAGCTAATCAATTATTCACTGAGGAAACTAGATGATTATGTTTTATGCCTAAACTTGATCAAAAGATTTTAATGCACACTTTGGATTGTGACTCATTAGTTAAAGTATGGCGTACCTCTGAGGGGACTTGAAAGTACCAGGTACGAAATATTACGGGATCATAAATTTGAGCTACTGAGTAGTTCCACAATAGAGCGTATCAACTGTTTATTGTTCCACGGTGTTCATCAGTTGACATCAGTTCGTGTTGTAAACTATCTTCGAAGCTCATAAAAATATAAACAGAGTCACCTTACTGACAAAAGGAGATTATAACGTAACTGATTTGTTAATTTTCTCTGAATTACGTCACTTTGTATAGATTAAGCTGGAGTTAACAATTATTTATTATACACATCATTTTTAATTTAAGAACTAAATTGAATTATAAGTTACTACATGGTAATTGAACTAGCAGAACTCATAGAGATATATATCAATATATGAATTCTTTGACAAATTAAAAAAAAACTCATTTACTTATATTATTACAGTAGATGAAAGATATTTAGAATCTTTATTTATTAAGTGTTGGATTTTGTTCATTATACATATTACCCGTTTGAAAACTGGTTCACCAGCCTACCAATGTTCACTGAACTACTAATACTTATTTTGTGAGCAAATTAAATAAATAATAGTTGAGACAGTTTCCGAGAAATACGACGGAGCCTTCAGAAGCCCTAAAGGAGCCGAAGAGTTTTCATCCAATCAGAACGCAACGGGGCTTTCTAGAATATCAACGTGTCATGCTACTATTAGGTGGTAGCATAACATGCCTCTTTGCGGACTGATTGAATTATAATATCTATAAATGCATTTTAATTCTTGCCCAGCAAGCACTTCTTCAGTCTTTTTCTGTCTTTTGATATGCGACTGCGGAGGTTCTATACGTTGGAGTGCCGTAGTTGTTTACTATACTCCGCATTAATCAAGTAGAGAACTTAACATAATACGACAATACGATAATTATTTAATTTTACATTTAATATCAATTATCAATTATCCGAGTATGCTATTCATATTGTATGCTGATAATTACTGTTATCTATTCACCCAGTTTTGACATTGCTTCCGAATGAAATCTGTTTTAAAGTTATAATTATTGAAATGCAATTAATTCCCACTGTCAAGAAAATTTGTATATAAAGAATGGTATTATTGTATAAGACGTTGTTTTTCACAGGTCAAACGTTATCTTCATTTTCATCTTCCTTATGCTTGGAGGTCGAGTTCTCAGTCTTGGTAGCATAATGCTGAAGAATATTTGGAAGAGTTCCTTGATAATATTAATGTTGACTAGATATTTTCAATTTGTGTAGCAAAAAGCAGATCGCAACAAGCAAAAAAAAACAAACAAAAACTCACCGATTTACTACTTATGTACAATGTGTATGGAAAGTGCCAAGTATTTGACTTGTTCGGCGCTATTGTTTTTACTTACTGGTGTCAGGAATCAACTTTTGATAACAATTTCAAACCTTCTCAGCAATACAAAAATATTTTTGTCATGCAAATGGTTTCTTTAGTCATCTTACAGTGAGCAAAAACAAAAGGTTAAGTAGAATAACATTTTATTTCTATCAGTTCTCATTAGCTACTTACAACTTCTAAGATTAAAAAAATCATAATTATAAAGCCATTTGAAAATACAAAAGATCAAATAGTTATAAATAGGTAGTAACATAATAAGCACACATTAATTATGCATAATAATAAAAGGAATATGGGTTGAAGACTTAAAATAAATTTACTGATGTTATAACACTCACTTTTACTTCGTCTAATGTTATAACAGGTTTACACTTTTACACTTATGAGACGTTAATTTACCTTAGACGATTATCTACACTAGATTCCCTCCCAGTGTCTATTCTACAGGACTTCAACACAACTCAGATCAACAACACGTGATTAGCCTGATCACAACGTAAATACATTTCCACACCAAAACCCGACACAATTCAACAACAATGAACAATCAATAATAAGTAATTATAAGATAAGGGAATATATAACTCATCTGACACCTGTTAGACTATCTACATGTCTGACTAAGCAGACAACCAATCATTATCATTCTCGCCCACACATCAACTGAACTAAACGTGAATCGAGAAATGAAGTGACAATGTAATCACGTTCAAGAGTTAAGAAGAATTTCATAATGTGACGAAACAGCTTTAAAGGCTATCAAATGTTAACAAATATATCTTTTACAATGCATTATTCAGGTTACTGATGCCTAATAGGAATAGCGTCATCAATATGTGAACTACTGTATAACAATTGACAAAACCAAAACTAACTTAGACTTTCATTGAACTTCAAATGTTTCGGAACATTGGAGAATAATACTTCAGTGTCTCCTAGCATTTAATTGAAGAAATTACAACTATCTATTTACTGATCTATCTATAAAAATGCTTGAGAAAATGGAATTTTTCCTTTCAAAAATTCAATGTTTCAACCTACAATGAATTGATCTAATGGAACTTTAAAGAGGAAGAATGTATTTGTAAAATCTCAGCGAAAGAATACATTCATCCTCTTTAATTTCTCACATTAACTCGGCCCCCAAGTACTGTGAAACAGTTCGACAAAATTTAGACGAAAGTTCTTAATTAATAGAATTTAGGTTTTCAACAGTTAGTAACTAATGGGAATCCAACGTCTTTTAAAAACCACACTTTTGATTCTCAGTAAAATAGGTTGCAGCATAAATGTTATGAAGATTGTTAATTCATTTGGTGTTGTTTACTTGTGTCTTCCCACTGCAGTTGATCAGTCTCTTGTTGGCATATGTGCATCCTGTGTGTATTGCCTCGATATTGCCTGAAGTCACAAGCTTTATAAGCAAAGATGGATAGTGGCTAGCAGTGGAATCCAGTTTGAAGCGCGTTTCGTCTTATTTGGTACTCGTCAGCTGGATGTACCTGCATCTGAGTTGACGTTCGCCCTGGGATTCGAAGCCAGTATCGTCCGTCTCGAACGCCATCACATAATCCACATAGCTACCTAGAGACTGATCAGCTGCAGTCCTAAATAGTAGTGGGAAGATACAAGTAAAACAAGTGGCTATTACTAAGTTTTATGACGTAAAGATGTTTTTGTCAGAAAATTTAATTGCCTGTAGAATTGTTGTCAACGTTTTACGACGAAACGTCTTCATGTTAGCCAGTTGTCTAAATATCTATATATAAGATTTGAAAGATTCAGTTAAAAAAATACTTAGGTGTTTCATTGATTATCCAACTTATACTAAGTATAAAAACATCCCGAATAATGATGTAAACCATAGGTCAACTCACCAGTCTAACTCTTTAGTTGATTGAGCATAGATTGCAAGATGAATTCTTTTACAATATTTTATTTTGTTTAAATTTAACAAAAATTCTTTATTATAACATGGTGTTGCTGAATTTTCGACTATTTCAGTAGTTTGTTCAAATGTAACTCCTTTGTCTGGAGATGCACTTATCTGAAATCGTAGAAAAAAAAGATAGATCAACTTACCGATGTATTGACACCTATGTAATTTGCAAAGCTAATGATTACCTAATTAAATCATTCCGGTTTAAATGTTAGTCTGTTGAAGACGAAATTCGATCAGTAATGATGATCAGAAAAACATGATATTGGTTAATATTTAATGATAAGTTGGTGAAAACATTCTTGATTAATTAATTTCATAACTTTTGGTTATTTATGGCGTTTGAATTAAAGATTCACTGGTCAGTAACCCTCAATCAGATTTCATAGCAAACTTGTTCAGCTGAAGTGAACTATCTAATCATTTAACATTTAATGCTAAAATAATTCCATAAATTCTGATTCATATATATGAAAGTAAATGTTTAAGTATATTTCCATCATCTAAAAGTACCATTTATCAGGTGTCTTCTTCATCGATGTCGTGAATTCAAGATCATGACTTAATGATGATATATTGTCAAAGAAAAAAGGACTATTCATAGTATTGTTAAATAAATTGGAATGATCACTCCAAATAGTGTTTTATACTTATTAATTATAATCAGAGAGGGGTTGTGTGGTTATAGTAGTATCGGGATCGTGGATGCACACTGCTGAGGAGAGACACAATAAGACATAACGGCCGTCCAGTGCTTCCAGGTTTTCCGTGGTGGTCTAGCTTCAATTGACTCGTGATCTCAACCATTAAAATATATAGGTTTGCGGTTTTTTCTCATCGGATTTTGAGAATATAATTGAAACATTTTATTCTGAACACCTGAACCGGTAAATATAACAGAATTGTAGCATAATTAGTATGAATTAGAGCATGATAAGACTAATAATTTTTTTACAATAACCATTCAAAATTACTACAGCAGTATTTAGTTGGTCAAGAAAGAATCCGATAAAAGTCGCTTACTTTCACGAAAGAGTTGCAGTTCTGACTGGTAGTAGTACGAAGTCCTTTGGCTTCAATTACTGAAATGAAAAAAAGATATTTAAGTTACTGAGATGATAATATAAAGAATATACTCACACAATATAGCTGTATTCTACAAACATATTATTATAACTTTCCAATAACATAAGCAAACAACATCGTATAAAATTGGGAATGCTGGACAGCTTTGTTATCGGAGATTAGTGACTCTCTTATATTAACCACCTCTATAGGGTAGTTGAGTGTTCATCTTAAAGCTTAATAGATGTACTTTAAGTTACTGATCATTAAATTTGAATTAACAACTAGCATTTTTAAGTTTATATAACCACCTCTCTACCACTCTTGAACTGATCACATATCAATGGATAAATGGCAAGTAATTTTGACTTATTATTCACTGAAGTGTTCTGATCAAGAATACATAACTCTATAGTTTTTCTTCCATTCTTCTTTGTTATTCAATCTTTCAATAAACATGTAGTAAAGTTTGTCTTTGTTCTAATCTTACTTATTGAAAATATTGAATGAATCAGCTACCCTCCTAGCCCACAAGCTTCATATATCCAAATAATTGCGTACTGTTAGTGGTTACATCTTAGTCCAATATGATGAAGAATAGTTGTAGATTTCTACACTTGGTTCTTCTCTCAATGTATCCAATCACTATATTTATGCTTCCTTTGGTTCACTTATCACAGTATTATGAAAACATTTTCTTTATTACGGAAGAATAATGCCTTAACTAACCATAACTGGATTGTTGATACGTGGCTATGAAAGCCAGAATATCTGCACAGTTATTAACTCAAATGAGCTTCTAGCTTATCAGAATAAGCCGTCAGTGTTAAAAAGGTTACGTCCTATTGTAAAATTATCACGTTGAACCACAGTTAGATGAATGCGTAACTTTGCCTTTTTATCCTGTCAAATCATAGTCCTTTCCATGAATTTCTGCACATATGACTATAACTCAATAGCTAAGGTGAACCGACGAATAATACAGCTTCCATCATGAGGATCATGTGCTCACAGCGTCTGCTAATGGCCAGAGATGCCAACTTCTGACGAGTCCCACGTTAAGAGTAATAAGCTTTCCGACGGTCTTCAGTTTTCAAAGGTACTTAATTACAATAAATGCTACATGCAAATTCCTTGAAAGGAAAGAAGTAGAACGGAAAGCAATTGGTATGAAAATGAAGGAACAATGAAATCTCAAATGATGGACTGATATTTGCAAAAGAAACAGTCAAGTTTGAGACAATTGATTGATATTTTGCAAATTAAGTATTTACTGTGTGGTTCTCAGATTTTAGTAAGATGTTCTGTCGGCTTTGTCTAATAATAATTGGAACAGCTTTATAAGCATGTAATGAAAAAGGGACTTGAGTTATTATTTTTTTAATGATTAATATTTATGACGAATTGCTAAAAATATACTCAGATTGCACAGAAATAAACATCAATGGTTGTGCTGGATGAGTATTAACAAATTACAATAAATTCTAATGAGAAGCAATGACCAGTGGAGTTTAACTGGGTCTGTTGTCAGGTAGTAACTAACCGAAAACATTGGTGGATGTGTCGCTCGATTTCGTAGATTAGTTGAAGTTAGATATTTACACCGTCGGATGCCGACTCAGTGGTCTAGTGGTTAAGCGTTTACGCGTGAGATCGATAGATCCTGAGTTCAAATCTAGTGAAGGGGGATCGTGGATGAGCACTGCTGAGGAGTCCCACAACAGGTCATAACGGCCGTCCAGTGCTTCCAGGTTTTCCATGATGGTCTTCCTTCAATCGACTCATAAATTCAATTGTTATATTACTACGATCTCTACAAAACTTCTCTCTGGTTAAAAATATTGATTTATGTAATCTTATTTTATGATTACTATCATAGAACTGAAAATACTAATTATAACCTGTCACTTAAGTTTAAATCATCATTAATAAATGATTTAGTTAAATATTTCAAAGATAAAGGAACCTTTACACCACTTTACCTAGACAAGAAATTGAGACACTTCAAAGTCACAACTACAATCTTACTACATTTGAATATCTAACAAAAGATTAACCAGAAGTTTAACAAAAACATGAATTTACCGTGTAATTTAATTGAATGATTTTGATATTCTATATCCAATCGAAGTTTTCCTGTCAGTAAAATGAAAAGAAAAAAATGTAAGCAGTAATAAATGAAATGAAGATCTGATTAATGAACTTATGGAAAAACATTCAGGATTCCTTTGCTTTTTCGTCACTTTAACTAAATGTCATTTCGGTCTTTTGAATGAGATAAAATCTATTCCTAAAAATATTCATCCAAACAATATATTTAATAACATCTAATCAGTCAATGACAAAACACTTTTTTCTCATTGCAATCGCAGTATCATTCAGTCACTTAACTGAAATACAGTGTTGAAAAAAATATTTCCAGTTAATTCAGCTTATGACACATAGTTTTTGCTGTTTTTTGGTAAACAACGTTCCAATATTTAACTTGGAAAGATTTAAATGTCATGCTTTTCTACAAGTAGTTCCAAATATCTATTCCAATACTGAAACTATGACCGAACGTGTCAAATTCTTATCAGTTTGCTGATTCTTATGAAAGTTCACCGTTAAACTTTACAGATATCTACACAATCATTTATCTAAAATAGAGAATTCATCTGAATAAGAATAAATGATATGAGATCATCAAAAAGCATCAAGTTGTAGACGGTGACCATCATATGACTTCGAAATTATATCCGATTGCCGAATCTATTCGAGTTTCTTCTAGCTTTAAATTAATAGTCGTCTGAAGTAAATTTGGTATTGATATCTTTTTTTAATGTATATATAAATATCAGGTTGCTCCTTGAAAAATTATACGAGATATCGAAGCTTGATGTAAATTAAGACGAGCACTTCAAGAACTATTTCATATCAAATAACTAATTCACAATCTCACATTAATCAATCACTGCAATCATAAACATTTAGTTTCCAGATATATTCACAATACATTTATACAAATCGATATGAAGTTGATGTGAGTTATATATCTTCAGGATCTGATATATCAAAGCAGATACTTAATTAAATTGGTCATTTACAAAATCAAAAACAGTCATTCTGAGATGGTTCATAAAATACTAGCCAATAGGATTATTTTAAGATTGTGTTTATTCGACGGGACCACATTTCAATTGACTAACAACCTCTGTTAATAAATGTATAACTTCTTATTTTAATGTTAAACGATTAATTGCCGATTAATTTAACGTATATTATCGGTAGAATTTAGCATAAACTTACTTTGACTAGTATCCCGTGTAGTATTTTTATAACTTTTTAAAACGTGAATTACAATTTACGTGTAGGATAGTTATTTTTTACTAGATTATACGACTAGTATCATGTAACGGTTTTAAGGTATTTTACCCAATTTTAAGTTTAGAGATGGTCAACGTTTTTTATTAGTTAAATCTATTAAATTTAAATAAAACGAACGAACGGTTTAGAATTATTTATTTATTTAAACACATAAACATTGGTACAAGGAGGCAACAAAGGGGAACCGAGTAGATATGCGCCACGTAAACATTCGATTTGTGTAAGGGCTGGGATACTAACCAGGTGCCCAAACAAAAACAGGTGGCTTCCTTATGGGGCCACACCCTGAGCCTTTGATCTAAAGGTCCGATCCACCTGGCAGTGAGGTAACGCGATGAGATGCAGTCCCATGGTAGCCAGTCACCAATAATTGGTTCATAAGCCATTTATTCATTCAGCTTACTGGAGCCCATGTGCATCAATGGTTTGAATGAGGGTTTTCCAACACCCCTAGGTGGAGTCTCTGTGTCCACCAACTAGGTTAGAGCGCTGGACATTCGCTTTTTGTCCTCTCGATTCCGTAAACAACACCTGTGGTGTGAGAATGCAATGAGTAGGACTTTCCTTGCAGTGGTTATACGCACGTGGCCATGCGAGAGCATTTGGGGAGGGAGAGCTGACTCTCCCCACTCTCAGCCATACCAGGTCATTTTGATCAATGTTTTCAATAAAGTGGAGTTTGCAAAAACTTAAGAACACAAGGCGAAGAAGAAACAACATATTTGATATAATAGTTGAGATCAGCCAAGACTTTTATGTTGATTATAAAATCATGTAAATCTTCAAAGAAACATTTCACTTTCGAAAGAACCAGATGGATATATCGGAGAGATAAACCCTACTATTTATTGTCTGATTCTCACTTACAAATTTATCAATATAATGAACCGTAAATCTGGTTTCCTAGGAGCATGAATTATTTCCTCCGCTCCATAATGCCTAAATGGACAAAAAGGGGATAATTTAAATTAAACAACCTGTTATGCGGACAAAGCGATAGAGTGACCATGGGATTACTAGTCAGGCCTACATTGGCCGACATCTTCATAGCTAACCTTGAACAGAAGTGATTCAAATACGGAACTGAAAATATCACACTCTATTGAATGCATGTTGACACTACATTTTTTATTATCCATATAGAATTGTGTAGACTATAGAGCTTTTATTGAAATCATGAACCGATAATGTCAAACCACCACTAATAACCTGGGAGCACTGGACGGCCGTTTCGTCCTAGTACGTGACTCCTCAGCAGCGAGCATCCACCATCCCGCACGCGGGATTCAAACCCAGGACCTTCGGTCCCGCCTAACCTCTGAACCATTGAGCCGGCATCCAGTAGTGTTATTATCTGTTTGTATTTATTGTGATATGAATCATGTTTCAAAATTACTTTGCCACTTTAACGAATCACGTGAAATCATAAAATGTAACTATGGCTTTTGAACATAATGATCAGTTTATCTATCTTGACCTGAACATAAAATGGAAAAACAATGGACAAACAAAGACAATATATTCAGAAAACATATAGCGACTCACATGCAATTGAGTTTAATTCAGTCAAGGTCCTATTTAATGGACAAAGTCATCCATGCTATAACAACTTGTTGTACTGTCATTATTATTGTGCTTGTATGAAATACATATGCTTGAACAGTTGTTTAGCGCCTACGCATGTATTCATTCTGCTAGCTACATTTTTAACTGCTTAATCTATTCGCTGACTCATCCATTTTCCTATATATATATATATATATATATATATATATATATATATATATATATATATATAATATATATATATATATATATATATATATATATATACATTTGCACCCATCCACTACAACTACTCGCTACTGCTACTGCTACAATCGTAGTTCGCTTGCTCATCCATTTTGCCTTTGCCGTCTGGTCCGAATTATCTGCTAAATAAACTGTAGTAGCTGCTTCTTTTTGCCTTCTGATTTCAAACATCGTTCGAGGGTGATTAGTTATCGAAGCACAGCCACTACAAACATACATAGACGGCTTTTGCCTAAACTACAAAAGATTGGTCCTCTTAGTCGCATACGCTGTTCAGTCAAGATCCCATTTGGTGAGGCTAGAAGGTTATGTTCAACTAATTAAAGTAGAGGGACAAATGGGGCACTACTGAAAAATACCTCATAAAAAGTGGATATACAAAGAAACTAATAATGAAGTACGCAAATATTCACAGAACGTGAATAACTGCTTAAAAAATATAACTTCATCCAACTTGCATTTGGAGGGGATGACATTTCGGGTATGATTGATAAAAGGATTACAACGATTCTGAAGAACCTTTCCTGTAGCTCAACTAATTTCAGTATATAACACCAAATGTTCTTCAAAACAATAAATAGTGAATCATTACCCCTGTGACCTCACCACCAAATGTATTTATGAAGTGTACTCATGGCAGCAGGTACGAAAGAAATATTGAGAGGGCATCTACAAGGGGTTTTATTAAAAATGTTCCTCGAAAGCCACGTTTAAAAAGAGGTAAAGTGTTCACAAGCGCAATCACTAGATATTTAATTGATAAGGGGCATAGAATAAGTATCACAAAGTGGTTTAAAATAAGTAGGGAAGAGAGAACATGGCTTTTACTCTGCTTTGTAGAGGCCATCACCATGAAGGTTTTGTCACTTGAAAGTTGTATACATAGGAAAATTATGGTAAACGTTACGCTGCCATGGCAAACTAACTATATTGTTTTAACATCTGTCAGTTACATAGTCTGTTCACTTTGTTTTGTATTTAAGAGAATTCCATTGAAATTCACATGAAATGTAAGATTTAATACTATATAAGTTAGATGTATTGATCAGCATTTATTTGTTAGAAATGTCTTGTTATTTATGATATCATCCCTTTATATATATAACTTCATTTTGAACCAGATACTAATGGTCACTAATAATGGTCATGTTAAATATGTTGTTTTCGCTTCTATCTGTTTATGTTTTTCTGTGTTGTTTCGAACTGAGTTTCATTGATTCATTTATGAAAAATGTTCTTCGTAATCATAACATTACATGGTCACAATAATATTGCATGACGTAGGAGCTGAAGATGTTATCTACAGTAACAAGTAGAGCTATACAATAAAGTCATCTGGCTCAAAAAGCTCAATACCATAATAATAAATAATTGTAACTCCAGACCTAGTATAGCTGATGAAAAGCCTTGCAATGTTATAAATTCGTTTTATTTTGTAAATCTTGTTCTTCATGCCTCATTTTAAATTCACCTAGGTATCAGGGTATGTGGAACTCCACTAAACGTTTGAGGTCTTTGGAGAACTCACTCATTTCAAATTATTTCCCCACTGCTGTACAGAATAAATGTAACTACAAAAGTAAATCTTCATAAGAAATATTGCAATAATTAAATACCAACTATACACTATCAAGGACATAAGGTGGTAGCTGGAGATACTCGACAGGAAAGCATCATATCACCATCTTACATCTCAACATTATGCACGCAATATTGAGTCACCTAGACTAGTAACCACATTGCAATCTGATCGATAGAATTCGATCGTCACTATGAAGAAGCTGACACACATGAAATTGATCACTACCCAATCAAGGACTTATGTTATAAGAGGACACTTGTTATTTGGAGATAATGCAGTTTACAAATAACTCAATATCATAAGTCTATTTGGTCAACAAAGAAACTTTGAAAATGTAAGGGAAACGAAAAAATACTGTTAAAATTTAACATAAATG